CTTGTCAACTGGTTAATACTGGCTAAGAAAACCAAGTGAAGATAAGCGCCTCGTTATTCACGTCCTCTTCGCCTGCAATTCAATCCCTCTGCCGCCATTGCAAACCACGGAAGTGCAAAAACGAAAACCCTTAAATCCCCCCAAGAAAGAAAGAAAAGAAAAGCAAGAGAAAGAGTTTTAGAGAGAGAGAAAGATACACACACACACACACACACACAGGCAACACACACACATACACACAAACGCACACACAAGACACACACACACACACAGACACAGACACACATTGGTGCACCCGCCGACGTAGTCTACACACGTTTTATCTCCTTCCCTCCTGTTTTATTCCAAGGATTTCCGTGATTCTTCCCGATTACTCTTCCCCCTTTTCTCTCCCTCTTCTTCGGCCATCTTGTCCTCCTCCTCTCTCTCTCGCCTCGGGTTTCGTTATCTCGGCGAATTTAGCGAATTTAGCGAATTGTAATTATTTCTTGGTGAATTTATGGACGTTTGAGCCACAGTCATGCCTCCCAAGAACAGGAAAGTGGCCGTCATGGGGTACAGAAGCGTGGGTAAGTGTGGCTTCGTCCCTTCCCTGTGATTTATCGTTATTTTCTTTTCTTCCCCCTAGTGATTTATCGTTATTTTATTTACTTTTTCTCAGCCCTGTGATTTATCGTTATTTTATTTACTTTTTTTCCCCTCTGTGGTGATTTATCGTTTATTTCTCTCATTTCCTCAACCTTGTGATTTATCGTTTATTTTATTTACTTTTTCCCCCTGGTGATTTATCGTTTATTTTAGTTACTTTTTCCCCCTTGGTGATTTATCGTTTATTTTTCGATTTTCTTTCTCGTTTTTTTTATTTATATGCGGTTGGGTAAGTGTGTCTCATCCCTTTTCCTTGTGATTTATCTTTTCTTTTTCTTGTTTCCTTGTTATTTATTTATTTATTTATTTATTTATTTTTTACTTGTTCCTTGTGATTAATTGTTACTTTTTACTTTTCCTTGTGATTTATCCTTATTTTTATACTCTTCCTTGTGATTTATCGTTATTTTTTAATCCTCTCTTATTATTGGTGTTCTGATACTTGTCTTTTCCTTGTGATTTATCATTATTTTTTATTATCTTTCTCGTTCTTTATTAGTGTTTCAAAACAGGTGTTGTTTTTTTTCCTCATAGAATTTCATAAAGGCGTGGGAATGGTATTAGGGTTGTGAGCGGAATCCCTGTTGCTTTCGAAGATGAAGAAGCATAGATGATAAAGAAAGAATTATTATGTAGTGTTTCGACCATTTTTCATACTCTTTAGTGATTCTATTTGTTCATTTTTTTTTTCTATTTCACGATTTGGTGACACGTGAGACTCGGTTTTAAAGAATGGATCTCTAAGCATTGTAGATTTATAGCCATGTATTTCATAATGTTTCATTCTATTTTGCCAATTTTGTGACCTTTTCACCTTATTGTCTGATGTGCTGTGACTTTTTTTCACTTTTTTATTAGAGTTTGCAACATTTCAACATTTTCCACACGTTACACATTGTTTCCGATCTACATCCCTCATTTCTCCATCATTTTATAGCCTTTTTCACCAGTATCATGACACATTTTCTTCTCAGTGTCTGCCTCTCATGACCATATTCTCTGCATGACATAATATCCTATTTATAGCCTTAGAAATAAAGATCCTGTTACATGATTGGTTGTTTTTTTGGGGGGTTGACCTTGAAAAGTAGTTCAGGATGACCTTGTCTGAGGTGTTGTGAAGGGCAAGTAGTTGACCTTGTAGGATGTAGGGAGGTTCAAGTCCGTAGGGAGGGTAGGAGGTTCTAACGGGGGCATTGGGGCACGTTTTGGGGATTTGGTGTTAAAGCATAAGTTTGCCTTTTTGTTCCATTTTGCTTGATTTTAGTTTATTAGATTGTCCTCTTGTGGTGATGTTATTATTATTTTTTATTATTTTTGTTGTTGTTGTGTTTGTTTTGTTAGGGAGTATTTAGGAATCTTTTTTTTTTTTTTTTCCTGTTATCATTTATGTCTTTTCTTGTTGTTGTTTTGCTTTATAATATTAGAGTTTCTGATTAAACTTTCATCACTGCTATCGCTGTCATTTATTATTTTAGAATGAATTGTTTTACAGTCACTGCTGTTCTGTAATTACCAATACAATTATAGTTGCTTAAATGATGGTTATGTTAACAATGATAACACTTAAGAAATTAATAATGAGTTCAATTATAATGTTAATAACAAAAGTTTATTTGTGATTGTAACAAAATTAGGGTAAAAAGTTGTGTATATATGGATCTTCTAATTATCAACAAACTTTTTAACACATCTCAAAAATTCAAGTGAAAATAATATGTATTCTATTTACACTGTTGCTTAGTCCTTATTGTCTTTCAATAGATTTATTAATTGTCATCTGATATTTTAGATGTGATTTTTGGATGTTGTCAGAATATTTCTCTGGTTTTAATGTTTTCTTTCTGCAATT